ATGCCATATCATATGGCATCGGAGAAATGCATGTTAAAACAACAATGAGATACCACTACACACCTATTAGAATTACCAAAATCTGGAACATTGGCAACACCAATTGCTAGCAAAGGTTTGGAGCAACAGGCACTCTCACTCATTACTGGCGGGGATGCAGAATGATACAGCCATGTTGGAAGACAGCAGTTTGATAGTTTCTTACAAAACTAAACACACTCTCCCCACGTGATCTAGCAATCACACTCTTTGGTGTCTACCCAAAGGAGCTGAAAACTTATGTCCACACCAAAACCTGCACATGGATGTTTACAGCAGCTTTATTCATAACTGCCCAAACTTAGATGCAACCATGATGCCCTTTAGTAGGCGAATGGTAAATAAACTATGGTACATCCAGTCAATGGAATATTATTCAGCACTAAAAAGAAATGAGCTATCACTTACAAGCCACAAAGAGACATGGAAGAAACTTTAATGCATATTGATTGAAAGAAGCCAATCTGAAAAAGGCTATATATACTGTATGATTCCAACTATATGACATTCTGGAAAAGGCAAACTATGGAGAGTAAAAATATCAGTGGTTGCCAGGTATTCACTGAGATGGAGGGAGCGATTTCAGGGAATTTTTAGGACAGTGAAACTATTCTGTATGATCCCATAATGGTAGAATTGTGTCATTATACATATGTCAAAACCCATAATTGCACAACACAAAGAACAAACCTAAATGTAAACTATGAACTTTAGGTAATAACAATACACCAATATCAGCTCACCAATTATTACAAATGTATCACACTAATGTAAGATGTTAGTAACAGGGAAAACAGTGAGGGTGAGTAAGAGGATATATAGGAATTGTCTGTACTTTCTGCTTAATCTTCTGCAAATCTAACACTGCTCAAAAAACTGAGTCTGTTAATTTTTTTTAATTAAGGGGAAAAGACCAAAAAATAGGTAGAATGGTAGGCAATAAATAACTCAAAAAAAGTTATTAAAATGGCTATATGATGTTCAGCCTCACTCAAAGAGACATACATATTATAACTACATCATGACACCATTTCTTAACTATCAGTTTGGCAAAAATTTTAAGACAACAAATTTTGTAAGCGAGGCTATGGGGAAATAGGTATTCCCACATGTTTCTGGTGGGAATCAAAACAGATAAACCCTCATGGACAGGAATTAGGCCATATCTAATAAGACTGCATACATATTTACCTTTTCACACAGAAATTCCATTTATAGGAATTTACCCCCAACAACCCAAAGGTTATTCATTGTTTGTATTTGCAAAATATTAGGAACAACCCGAATGACCATACATAGAAGAATGGTTGGAAAAACTGTGGTGTATCACAAAGACAGTATTTTGTAGTTTAATGATATATGGAGTGATTTCCAGGATATAGTGTTTAGTGAAAAAGTAAAGTGAAAGAGACTACTGGGCCGGCCCGGTGGCGCACTGCTACAGTGCGCAGCTTGGGAGCGCGGTGGCGCTCCCGCCGAGGGTTCGGATCCCACATACAGACCGGTTCCCACTCACTGGCTGAGCGAGGTGTGGGAGCAACACTGAGGGTTGCAATCCCATTGCCGGACACGAAAAAAGACAAAAAGGAAAAAAAAAAAAGAAAGAGACTACTGATTGTATTGGCTTCTTTTGTGTACGAAAGAAGAAATAATTTTTTTAAAAGGTACATATATCCACTTATTTATGAAAAAATAAACAAAGGAAGAGTATACCCAGACTCAACTAATGGTGGTAGAACAACTAGATAGCCACAAGCAAAAGAATAAAGCTGGATACCTTCCTTACACCGTACATAAAAATTAACTCAAAATAGATTATAGATCTAAATGTAAGAGGTAAAACTATAAAACTCTTAGAAGAAAACAGAGGAATAAATTTTTGTGACTTTGGGTTAAGCACAGCCTTCTTAGATACAACACCAGAAGCACAAGTAAAAAAATAAAAATAAAAAGATTCACTAGACTTCATGAAAATTAAAACCTTTTGTGCATTAAAAGACACCATCAAGAAAGTGAAAAGACAACTCATAGAATGACGGAAAATATTTGCAAATCGCATATCTGATAAGTGTCTTATATCCAAAAAACATATAGAACTCATACAAAACATCACTAAAAAGATAAATAACCCAATTAATAATGGGCAAAGGATTAGAACACACATTTCTCCAAAGAAGATATACGAATGAAGCACATGAAAAGACAATGGCTTAACACAGTTCAGCAATTAAGAGAAATGCAAATCAAAACCACAATGATATACCACTTTATAACTTCTAGGATGACTTAAATAAAAAGGACATCTAAAACGTGCTGGTGAGGATGTGAAGAAATTGGAACCTTCATACATTGTCGGTTGGAATGTAAAATGATGCAGCCACTTTGGAAAACAATTTGGCAGTTTCTTAAAAAGTTAAACAGTTACCATATGATGCAGCACTTCCACTCCTAGGTATGGTATATATGCAAGACACAAATGTTCATAGTAGCGTTATTCATAATAGCCAAAAGGTAGAAACAACCAAATGTTCACCAAGTGATGAATGGGATAAGTAAAATGTAATATACCCATACAGTAAAAGATTACTTGATAATAAAAAGGAATGAGGTACTGAACTGATACATGCTACACATGATGAACCTTGAAACTATTATGTTAAGTGACAGAAGCCAGTCACAGAAGACCATATCTATGATTCTGTTTAAATGACATATCTAGAATAGGCAAATCTAGGGAGACACAAAGTACATCAGTGGTTGTCTTGTGGGGAAGATGGATTTGAGTGGAATGGGGAGTGACTGCTAATGAGTATGGGGTTTTTTTGGGGGGAGGGGGGATAGAAGTGCCCCCAAATTAGATAGTGTTGATGGTTGCACAACTCTGGGAATATACAAAAAAACCACTGAATTGTAGAATTTTAAATGGTGAATTGTTTAGTACATGAGTTCTACCTCAATAAATCTGTTTTTTTAAAAAAAGAAGAAACCCAGAATAATGAAACTAGCTACATTCAGGGGATAGATGGAACCAGGAGGAAAGGACAGAGAGATTGCAATAGGATAGTTGGGATGGGGGAGATACCTTTTTTAAAAATAGTTTTTACTTGGGATACCACATTAAAATTTCACTAATTAATTCAACAAGGATGGGGTGATTTTCTAAAATAAAATATAAATGAAAACAAATTAATCTATCTGTGCTTCAAATTAAAAACATAACCATACTGAATGCTAAAACTAGTGGATAAAAGCTTGAGTAGAAATAGGATATTTACATAGTCTCAGTATCTTCCCACAAAGGAGAAAATAGTGCCTTTACAGTGGAGAAACCTGGTAGACAACACTTTTACCAAGTGATCAAAATTAACATCATTAATAATGGGACCAGTCAAAATCATGTGATTCCTCATGTGATGCAGGGTGTACACAGCATCACTTTGGTATTCCCGCCAAAAATTCATAACCTGAACCTAATCATAAGGAAACATAGGACAAACCCAAATTCAGGAACATTCTTCGAAAGTGTCAAAGTCATGAAAAACAGAGAAACACTGAGGAACTCTACTATATCAAAGGATGTTAAAGAGATGTGACAACTAAATATAACATACCATCCTGGACTGGATCCTGTTCCAGGAAAAAATATATATATATGATTCTGCTATAAACAGAATTCTTGCGATAACTGGAGAAATTTGAATTAGATCTATAGAGTCTTTTTTTAAAAAAGAAGTCATGCTGCAACAATGTGCCTCTTTGTCAGACCCTCAGTATCAAAGGCAACAACGATATCAAAGCTTATTTTATAAATATCCATAAGTCCACACTGATATAAATAACTGAATAAATAAATGAAGAAAGGACCAATCATCCTTACAGAAGAACTCCAAATAATAAAAGTAGAAGGAATAACGGAAATAGAAAATTATCATTAGAACACAGTAATAAATGCTGCAGGCAAAAACTACTAGCAGAAACTTTAAAGAGAAACAGAGAGCTACACAACCTCAAAGTATTCTCCCCGCCAAATTTTATTAGTTCCATGGTGGTTTTAACATACATTCACAAATTCTTTCATACTTCTTCCAGGAGATGAAACTTAATTCCCCTCCCCATGAGTGTATATTGGATTTAGTGACTGGTTTCTAATGAACAGAGTATGAAAGGAGGGAAATAGTAACTTTACAGTGGAGAAACCCCGCAGACTAAGTGATCAAATAGAATATCGCCAGTGATAAGTCATGATGACATCATGTGCCCTCTGATATAATGTGATGGGGGGCACTTCACCTCTCTGGTATCTGCCCCAAATTCCATAACCTCAGTCTAATCACTAGAAAAACATGGAAAAAACAAACAAAAAAACAATTTGAGGGTCATTCTACAAAATAATCAGAACTTGGCAAAATTATCAAGTTCACAAAAAACAATGAAGATTGAAAAATTGTCACAGATTGGAGGAGATTAAAGAGATGTGACAACTAAATGCAATGTAGTATCCTGGACTATATCTTTGAACAGAAAAAGAATATTAGTGGAAAACCTGATGAAGTCCAAAAAAAGTCTGTAGTTTGACTAACAGTATTGTACTAATGTTAATCTCTTAATTTTGATAACTGACAATAGTAAATTTACCCAAGTTTTACCCAAAGGAAATTGGATGAAGGGTATATAGGAACTCTCTATACTATCTTTGCAACTCTTCAATAAACCTAAATTATTTTAATAAAAAGTTTTTAAAATAAATGAATTAACCAATTTTTAAAGTTATTTTGTAAATTAAACATCTTCAAAAAAATCTTCAAATTAAAGCTGAACCATTAAACTTGATTTCTGAACCTACTTATTGCATGAATAAATCCAGTTTCAATTAAGTTACTTTGAGATAGTGTTTTATTACATGGGCCTCTGAATTTAATGGTTTTTGGAGAGGGACAAAGAAGAATAAAGATAAAGTTTGAGAAAAACTATTTGCATGTGGTAAACAAGATTTTAGAATCTTAAGGGAAATAAATGGTTGAAAGAAGACTAGTACAATAGAATAAGAACAGATTTAAAAGATTAAAATATCATACTAAATATATCGTATAAACAAAAGGGAACTATGGAAGGTTCATTTTAAAAGAACAACTTTGGCAGAAATTCAGACAAAGGAGGGCTGGCCAGTTAGCTCAATTGGTTAGAGCTCAGCCTTATAACACCAACGTCACGGCTTCAGATCCCCATACTGGCTACCACTAAAAAAAAAAAAAAAGAAAGAAATTTAGACAAAGGACAAGAAGGGGCTATGAAAGCATTAAGGGCTATCACAAAAGGCTATACCAGCCGTTCCAAAACTTTCCCGGTTTACAAGGCCCTTAATGTGTCAGTAATTTTTTCAGACTCCCCCAAGCCTAAAGAAATATCTAACCATTCTGTTTATTAAGTAAGTAGTCAGGTCCAAACAACTTAAGAAGTATATATGTCCTAAAAACTAGCACCTATGTTGCACAATGCACAACTTCTCAAACCTTAAAATCAAATTGAACACTACCCCCCTCATTTCCTGTTCCACATAGATTTTCACATGATACCTGCTTTTTGTCACAGCAACTGCCAAGAACCCAGCTTTGCAAAACTATGGTATCACTGAAAAGAATTTAACTAATTTTGAAAGTGAATTATCTCAAGTTAGTAGTTTATGTGGTTTCTGACAGTGTTTCCTTCAAATTTTTAAAGCATTTCTTGGCACCCCTGTGAGTTCTCTGCAGTGCCTCTGGGCTCCTTGACATAATTTGGGAACCATGAGCCTTAGCATAAGATAACAAAGGATGGAACCAAGGCAGTGGCAATAGAAAAATCAAAGTGAGCATTAAAGCATACTTCAAGGGGGAAAAAAAAAAAAAGCAGATCCAGTGACGTTTCCTGTAAGTTAAACAACAATGCAAGTACTTGAAAAATTTCAAAATTTCTCTGAAAAAAAAAATTATTCTACCTTTAGCTATCCCTCAACAAACTTTGCTCATATGAAAGAGAACAAACTAGTCTTTTCTTTAAATTAATGAATGAATCTATTCAAATGTTTATATTAATTTTGACAGCTGTATATGTGGCATGGCTAAAATACATTGCTCTCACTTTTAACCAAAAGAAATCACAAATAAGCTGAACCATAGGAATAAAATTCAATTCAAAACTTCAACTCAATAAACTTTTCTGGAGTACCAATAGGAACTGTTATCCTGCATCTGCCAAAGCTTTGCTTCAGACAGATATTTGAGAAAGAATCAAATGTGGTAGTTCTAAAATCTAACTTGATCTCTTAAGCAATTGGGGAACTTCTAAATGACAGATTTGCCAGTACCATCCTAGACCTACAGGATCAAAACCTTCTAAGGGGCATGGAAATCTCCATATGTGCAAAGCACCCCAGCGATTCTGAAGATCAGTTTGGGAAGCAATGGCTACATGGGCACTGTCCAATAAAACTTTTTGTGAGGACAGAAATGTTCCATATTTGCACCGTCCAATATGGTAGCCCCTCACCACATGTGGCTAGTGAGCACTTGAAATGTGGCTACTGCAGCTGAAGAACTGAGTTTTTAATTCAATTTAATTTAAATTAATTAAAATTTATATGTAAATAGCCACATGTGGTTAGTTGCTTCTGTACCGGACAGCACAGAACCAGATGATTTACATTAAACATCCATTCTTCTAAATTTTCCAAGTTGTACCCTTGGTTTAAACTAATGATCAGGAAACTAGGTTCCTTAGCCATATTCTCTTATAATGGGTCTTCATAAAGGGTCAACATAAACATTATCCAACTAAACAGTGGTTCTGAGTCATGTAGCTGCAGATTTTATCCAATGTCATATGTTTTGTTTTCTTTTGTTTTTACACAATAAAATACTCTTTGGATTAAGTTCTAAAAAAGTCTCTGCAAACAAATTTGCATACTTGCTTTAGCCAGAAGGGCCACTGTGCTTCCCTTTTCGCCTCAGGTGCTAGTAAACTCAGAACCAAATCCACTGTCCAATGGTGGCTACTAACTCCTCTCGAATACCTAGTAATATGTACTCTATTTGCTCCTCTAAGACTACTGCTGTTCTATTTATATCCCTAAATTAGTCAACACAGTGTTATTTTAAATTCTTACTAAGCTGACAAATTCTTTAGGACATAAGCAGGACATTAACTTTTAAAATGAAAACTTCTTTGAATTAAAGCCAATATTTTATAATTTTTTTAATTGAAAACTATTTTTAAAATAACAATACTGGGATTAAAACCAAGAAAAAAAATTTTTTTTTTTTTTTTAAAAGATGACCGGTAAGGGGATCTCAACACCTTGGCTTGGTGTTGTCAGCACCACGCTCAGCCAGTGAGTAAACCGGCCATCCCTATATAGGATCCGAACCCGTGGCCTTGGTGTTATCAGCACCGCACTCTACCGAGTGAGCCACGGGCCGGCCTAAAACCAAGAAAAATTTTAACAGAAAAAAACTTAAAGAATATCTTTACATGCCTATTAGCAAAGCTGCCCTAAAAATATCACTATAACAGTGATAAATAAGACAAATAAATACTGACATCCTGCAGTAATTTCATTGGCCCCATATCACAAATTCAGTTTCACTCCTTTTAACAAATATGTAAAAGTCCTGATGCAAAATAGAAAGATACCTATCAAGCATTCAGTCCAAAATACATTGTGCAATTATTCTTTTAGCACACTTGGACTACTTTTACATCATGCAGTGAACTACTTCAGTGGCTCTTTTGTTGAAATTTCCCACAAAATTAGAACACACACATTTGCTGCCTCAATAGCACATTTCTAGAAATGCCTAATTTTAAGTTGCCTGAGCATTTTAATTGAAAAACTAATGTGTGGGCCGGCCCAGTGGCGCACTGCTACAGTGCGCCGCTTGGGAGTGCGGTGGCGCTTCCGCCGAGGGTTCGGATCCCACAGGCAGACCGGTTCCCGCTCACTGGCTGAGCGAGGTGCGGGCCCAACACCGAGGGTTGCGATCCCGTTGCCGGTCCCAGTCCGGTACGGGCGCGACACTGAGGGTTGCGATCCGTTGCCGGACACGAAAAAAGACAAAAAGGAAAAAAAAAAAAGAAAGAAAAACTAATGTGAAACTAAACCAAATCATAAGAGTAGAACTTCTTCACATAATCCCTTAAAATTTTATTTTAAAAATCAATTTTTACTGGCCAGTTAGCACAGTAGGTTAGAGCATGGTGCTGATAACACCAAGGTCAAAGGGTGGATCCACATACTCACCAGCCGCCAAAAAAAACCAAAAACAAGAACAAAATCAACTTTTAAAATATTTAAACCAAGATTTGGTGCCAAAATAAATAAGAAAAGCACACACTACAAAAAGATAAAATTTATTCCCTGGGCTCATTAAAAATAATTCCGACAGGAAAAAAAAAATTAAAGAAAAACTGTCATAAAGAAATACATCATAAATACCATAAATCGTCACCACAGGACATACGCATACATAGACACATACACACAAATGCCAGTAAATTAATTCTACTCTGGAGTAATTAAGTTAGTTTCCTCAGCTCTATACTTACTTGAAATTATTACAAAAAAGGAAATAAAGTTATAAAACCATAGGAATTGATTTTGCTTCAGAAGCAAAAATATGTAGTTCCTTTCCCCAAAAGCCAAAGTATTGTCAAAATTTTCTTCATTTTAGCACAGCACTTTACGCTAGCACACTCCCTGGTTTACTCCTACCTCTCTGGTCACTCCGATTTTCTGTACTAGTTCAACTTTCTCTAATCTTTTTCTGACACTCTTAAATGTTCAGGTTATACTTTAGTCAATATCTTGTTTACTCTACCTCTTCTCTCTAGATAGTTCTCTTCATCACTCATTGCTTAGCTCATCAGATAAAGATAACAACAATGAGTAATGTTTTTTGAGTGCTTACTGTATGTCAGACACTGCCCTAACCCCTCTATAGGCATTATCTCATTCAATTGTCAAAACAACTCTATTCTGGAAGCACCTTCATTATCATCTCCATTTTATAGATGAGGGTAGTAAGAGATAATCAGTCTATTCAAGGTCACATAGCCTGAAAATATATATTTTGTACATACACAAACCTGAATGTTCCCCAAAGCTGTTCTAAAGTTTCTTGCTATACTATAAGGCTGGAAAATAAGCACAATGGGCTCCCGTTGCTTTTGCAGCCAGGCTAGAATAAAGACTAGAATAAAACTAAACTAATGGTTTTAGAGTCTGGACGTAAAGAAGACAGAAAGGTACTAAAGTCTAGATCCCACAAATACCAGCTGCAAGTTACTCCAGTGATTTAGAGTCAGCGGGGGCAGTGGGTCAAAGAAACATTTTCTCAAAGGCCAGGGCCAGATAGTAAATATTTTAAATTCTGCAGCCATCCAGTCTAAGTAGCAACTACTTAACTCTGCTATTGTAGTGTAAAAGCAACCACAAACAATAGAAGGTACTTCGAAAAGTTCATGGAAAGATTTGTATTATCTTTTAATTCTATTTTTCCATGAACTTTTTGAAGTACCCTTGCATATAAACAAATGGATGTGGCTGTATTCCAATAAAACTTTATTTACAAAAGACACAGCATGGATCAGGCCAGAGTTTGCCAACTCTTGATCTAAAGGCATATTGCGTCATGTGTGCAGGCAATCATGATGTAGGCATAGTAATATCCAATTACAGCATAACAAGGCTCAACTATATTCCTTAAAGAACCCACCACAATTGAATTTTATAAAGATGTACCTCACATGAAATAAACACTTAAAATCTGGATAAAAAAACTACATGTCACAATTTCAATTTTTAAAAAACAATCAGTCCATAAGACACTATCACAAAATTATAAACAAGTAACATATCAACTTAGTATTTGCTAAAGTTATATGCCTTTGACAATTCACAACATAGAAAAGAAAGCACTATTTTGTTTCAAGGAATAAGGTTCACAAAACCTGCAACACAGAAGGTATCACAAACTAACCCCTCTAGAAGCAAGCCTAGACACTAGAGAATAAAACTACCCTTTCCTCTCCTTTTGCAGTCACCTATCCTTCTGCCCCACCTCTCCCCTCATACATTAAAGATTTTAGCACCTGACTCCCTATTCAACATTTCTTCCCCCCATTATTCTTGGCAACTTCAAGATCCACATAGATAATCTGTCTCACATCTTGGCCTCTAAATTCCTTGACTACCCTCTTCACTTTCAAGAATCTTTTCTTCCATTCCATTTTAACCACCAACTGTCACGGTCACACACTGATAGCTGTAGTCCCTAAGAAGGAATGGGAATACCTGAAAGGTGCAAAAGATGACCTATTCAAATACAAGCGTACTTCAAAAAGTTCATGGAAAAATAGCATTAAAAGATAACACGAATCATTCCATGAGCTTTTCAAAGTACCCTTATCTAGAAAGAAATTCTACTTAGATTTAGTTATTTTTTTAAAGAAATTAATGTATACTCACATTAAATATATAGCATATTGATTAAAAATATATTGTGGATGTGTGCCCATTTTTTATTTTTTATTTTATTTATTTATTTATTTTTGTCCTTTTGAGACCAGCCGCACCGCGCTCACTGAGCACTGTGAGCGCACCGGTCATCCCTGTATAGGATCCGAACCCACGGCCGGAGCGCTGCTGCACTCCCAGTGCCGCACTCTCCTGAGTGCACCACGGACTCGGCCCTGTGTGCCCATTTTTTAAACTGATTAAGTATAAGTGATCCAAGGAGACCACCACCTATACCTTGTCATTAACATTAACCACATCCTTAAAAATCAAGCATCTCACTCTGACTTCCGCCTCCCATCTTTCCAGCTCATTCACTCTGGTCTCCCAACTCCAGCAATTCTTCAACCTCTTTACAATCTCTAAATCATTATCCTCTTTACTTTTTCACTGATTATCCGGCCTTTCATGTCCTTATTTCCCTCCTTTTCCAGCTTACAGTCCATCAATCATCACTATAATCTCTCCTGCACATTGGCTCTCAACTTCCTTCTCCTTCTTCCCCTCAGTTGTACATTCCTGACAAAACCCAATCCTGGTCAAATCCAACTCTGCCTATTCCATGCCTATACCCAAGCACTGAACATAGCTGGATTAAAATATGCAAACTTGCTGGTTGCATTCACTTTCAATTTATGATCACAAAGTTAAGAAGGTCCTCAGCACTACCCGACAATTTTTCCACATTTTCCTAGTCAATTCATTCTTGCTTTGACAATTACATACCTCCTATCTCCTCAGTCCTTCAACAATTCTGTCACCTACCTCTCAGCTGATGTCCTCCAATACTATTTCTCTAAGAAAGCAGAAGCTCACAGAAGAGAACATCCACATCCTCCCCCACCAAATCTACCTGCTTCTCTACCCATATACTGAACCTTCTCTCCTTGTAACAATGAATTGTCCCTGCTTCTACTTAAGTTCAACCTTTCCACTTGTATACTGGATCCTTTTCTCTTTATCTCACTCAAAGACTTTTCTCCTAAGGTAATCTCCTCTCCCACCAGATCATCGGTTTTTCCTTCTCTACCAACAATTTCCATCACCATCAAACATCCTGCAGTATCTGCCTTGACCCCTTGTCCCTCTCCAGCTATTACCTAGTTCTCTGCTTTGTAGCAAAATCCTCCAAGAAAGTCATCTATACTAACTGTATCCATTTTCTTTCCTCTAACCCAGTCTAATCAAGTCTTCATCTCTTCCACTCCACTGAAACCATTCAAGATCTACAGCTCTTTCTACCTTGCCAAATCCAATGGTCAACTTACTCAACTTCTCAACACTGACAAAGCCAAACACTCCCTTCTTGATATACTTTTTGTACTTGGTTTCTTAGGAAATACTCCTAATTTTCCTTAGACCAGGGCCAGCCCGTGGCTCATTCAGGACAGTGCGGTGCTGATAACACTAAGGCCACGGGTTCGGATCCTATATAGGGATGGCTGGTTCACTCACTGGCTGAACGTGGTGCTGACAACACCAAGCCAAGGGAAGATCCCCTTACCAGTCATCTTTTGGGGGGGAAAAAAAAAAGATAATTTTCCTTATACCTCCCTACTGCTTATTTGCAATCTCCTTTGCTGGCTCCTCTTCTTCCCCACCTCCAGGTGTTGAAGTGCCTCAAGGCTCAGTCCTCTTCTCAATTTATATGAATACCATAGGAAATTTCCTACAGCCCCATGGCTATAAATACTACCTACATTCTAAGAGGCTCTAGCCTCTTATCTGCCTGAGCTTGAGACTCTTCCAATTGACTGCTTCATTAAGATCTCCATCTGGATGACCCAAAGGTAAAGAAAAGCAAAACAGAATTCTTGATTTCTCCTTCACACCAAACCTTTTTTCCCAAGTGTCCCCCCCCCATCCCTGTAATTAATATTACATTCACCCGGTTGTTCTGGCCAAAAACCTGTAGTCATTATCAATCAGTCCATCTCTTATTATCATACCTAATCCACCAGCAAGTCCTGTCTATTATACCTTCAAAAAATTTATTTTCCAGTTACACGGGTATATAGATTTGTCAAAACTCATTGAACTATATATTTTAAATGGATACAAAAGTGTAAGTTACGTCTCAATAAAATGTGGTAGTAGGAGGTATGTGGGAGTGTTGGAATGTGCGTGTGTGTTACCTACATACATGTGACCATTTGTCAACACCTACCACTCTGCTCCTTGGACTACTGAAAAAGCCTTCTAACTGGGATCCCTACTTCCACTTTTACTCATGACAGTCCATACTCAACAAAGTATCCAGAATAATCTTTAAAAAATGTAAATCAGATTATATCACTTCCCTTCTCAAATCCCTATAATGGCTTCCCATCACACTTAAAATCCAAAGGCCCTTACCATAACCTCAAGGCCCTACAAAATCTAGCCCCTACCTACCTCTTAGACTTCACCTCTTATCGCTTTATCCCTTTTCACTGTACTCCACACACTGGCCTTCCAGATGCTCCTAAAACACACCAAGCATGTTTCCAATTAATTATTTTTCTCTTCTTTTTTTAAAATTTATTTCAAAAGTATGTTCTTTACACATCAAGGCTCATGTACCTCTACATCACTCCACTAGATGGTCAACAGAAAAATGCTTGCCTTAGCCACCCAAAGAAGTGGATCTGAAATGAATACTTCTTAACGTAATTTGGCTTTCATAAACTCAAGTTAATATTTAAAGTGCATGTGGCCTTTTAATGTCCAGTTGGAAAACTAAACCGGGATCAGTTACAGACAGCCTGGAACATCAGATTAAAGAGTTTATATTTTATCTAACAGGCCAGGGTCACAAACTAAACACTGGGAAGAGTTTCTTTTTTTCACTTTTCAAATCCTGAGTTCACAAGATTTGCAAAGATGCGTGAAATGATGGAGGAAATGTGGAGTTTCAGAAATATATACACACCTTTTTGTACCTTTAGAGTTTTGAACCATGTGACTGTATTACTTATTTAAAATATAAATTATAATTAAAGTTATATTTTAAAACAAGAAAAAATCTTACATGACATAGAAAAATCAGAAATGAAATAAATTTATGATTTTGGGGCAAAAGTTTATATAGCACTTCTAATATTTTAGTCCCCCTAACATAACTAAGAATTATATGGAAGAAATAGAAACATATAGATAAAATAAGTTCATATATGTAGATAGTGGAGACATATGCATGAAAATATAATACATGCTCATACATAATGGCTCATCTCATATTAGAAAGCTCTTACCAGAATTTAATTCTGAAACTTAGTTAAACTATCATCATAACCACGACTTGCCAACTTTCAAGCAGTTTCCTTAAATACCTCTCAACAGCCATTGAGAACTCATGTAGTAAAGCAATGACAGCACAGTCTCTTTCTTTCAAATTCATCTCCAGTGGCCAGTCTTACCACTTGCCAACAGCTACATCAATTAAACTGAGATTAATAATGAAATGACCAGGGGATAACAATAAGAGTAGGGATAAAGCCTATCATCTCCAAATTTGCTAAAACCCCTTTATATGGCAATCAAGAAGTGATGAGGAATAGGACCTCATGGTATATTGTCCTTCTCTCAGATGAATAAAAGTTGCCTTCAAAGACACAATCTCAATGGAATACTGTTCTCTCTTTTTACAATTTATTCTTTCTTCTCTAGTTTATACCAGATCTATTTTCTTATCCTCTCAACACTTGCAATTTTTCTTCAATTCTATTATTGATGTCTCTTTCCTTTTATTCAATCGGCCTCTCTAAATTTCCTTCCTCTCCTTTTATTCTGCCATACCTCCAAAATAATACTTAAAATGTAAAAGTAGCTGATAAAAAAAAAGTTCCTAATATGTGTTCATCTATTTTTATTTTTATGTCCCTTCAATAGATTCTAATTCAGCACACACCCATTCAATAATTTACAACTTCTTGCAAGGATCAAAATGAAGAATGAAAAAAAAAAAAAAAAGAATACAAACAATAAAGGCTACAGTATATAAGTGTAGAAATTGAACCTACTGTATACATCACAAGGGCCCTAAGCAAAATAAGTCAAAAGAAATATTAACTGAAAGTCATGACAGCAGATTTTATATAATGAAAGTATTTTTAAATTCTATTTAAGGTTCTACTTATAAATAAAATTCCAGTACATCAAACACATACCTTATTCTTTGTGTACTATTACCTTGTTGGTTTTAAACTATATTTTTAAATGAGAGCAAGAAAACATCCAAAATATTTAGAACTATATGTCTGAAAATTCTAGAACATCAAACGTTTCTAGCATTCAGTCCAAATCCTACCATAAGATCTAACTTAATAGATGCACCATAACGGCCATCTCTAAAAAGTAATCAAGCTATCTATTCAACTGTAATCAAGTTACATTTTCACTGGTGCTTTCACCTTGAAACACACAACAATAACTTAAACACTGCTCAAGGGGAAAAAGAAATTCCAGGGATGCTGCAAACTGTGGGAAAGAAACAGGTTTTGTAATTGAGAAATCACCCGATATGTTCTATTTCCCTTACGAAAAGAGATTCAAATTTAACCATCTTAAAGCTGATTCCTTCCATAGCTCAGTTGGTTACAGCACAGAATTATGACACCAAGGTCAAGGGTTCAGATCCTCCTACCCGCTAGCCACCAAAAAAAAAGTTGATCCTCCAGTATACTGCCAAGTTGAGAAATACTTGTAACCAGGAACTTCCTCACAGATTACCTATCTTGATTAATAGTACACCTAGCCTTATATAGCAGAAATATGGGTGTCAATCTAGATCTTTTCCTCCCCTTCACCCCCATCCTTCCCAGACCTCCAAATGAAACGACCACCAAGTCCTATCCATTTTGTGTTCTCAGCATCCTCCACTCATTTCTCTCCATTCCTTCTGCCACTGCCCAGTCCAAGCCTTTCTTCTCACCTTGTCTACTCCAACAGCTATCCTAATATCACTGCTTCCAGTCACCCTTTTCACTATGATCCTTACTCTACACTGTTGTACCAGTGATTTTCCAATAGTAAACCTAATGTCTTTTCTGCTCAAAACCTTTCACTATGTCCCTAACACCTACAGGATAAAGCCCAAGCCATTTATAACAGCACATAACTTTCCATGATTTGAGCCCTGCCTTTCTGTCTCTCAAACCTCATATCCCACTGCACTGTCCCCATCCTACACTTTGAGCCCCACCAATATCAAACTACACTGCTTGAATTTCCAGCACATCCCATCCTATTTAATGCCTCCATGATCTTGCATAGGTTCTTGCTTCAGTCTAGAATGTCTTTCACTTGTTCCCCCTTGGCTTCCTAGACAACTAACTACGAATCTTTCAAAATCCACCTCAGAACCCAGGAAGCCATCCCCAAATCCCACCCCTTACCCTAAAAGAGTCAATTATTTTCCCCTCTATCAACTCTGTACAAATAATGGCATTTATTGGGCATTTACTATGTTCTTGACACTATTCCAAGAATTTTACATGTATTAACTCATTTAATCTCCACAATTACCCTTCCTATGAAGTGGTACCATTACTACCATTTGGGATATGGAAACTGAATCACAGAGAAGTTAAATAACCTGTAGCCGGGGATGCCCAACTGGATGAAGACAGATTAAAATCCCTACATCATACATATTTATATTATTGCACCTATCACAGTGAATTTATTTATATGACTGTCCTTATCCTTGACTGTAAGCTCCTTGAGGGTGGGGACCATGTCAAATTCAACTGTAAATCCACAGTGCCAGCTATAAAGTAGGTACTCAGGGCACGCTTATCTTGAACTGATTTTAAAGTAGCATTTCTAATAACTTCAAGAGAAAAGCATTCAGAAACTAGTTTCCAAATAAGTATTCAAATATGCAATAAGAGTTCTAGAATACAGCAAGCTATTTTTTTCATTTAATAAAAAGGATATTAAAAAAACAGGTTATTACAGACATGAGATTACAGTCCTTGCGGACAATGAAATGGACTTATTTTGCAGTAATACTGCTTAATCACTGCAATAAACCAAAACCCAAAGGACCATTTGCTAAAGATTGACTTTTTTCTCTCACTAAAAAAAGAATTTTTGTTGCTTATCATTCAGGGCAGTGAAAAGAAAGTACTAAATTTACTTCACTCTAGTAGAAAGAAGCAAAACACAGACCAGCACTACTAATTACTTCCTTAAGTTCAGCCAAGAAATATATCTCATTAGGCAATTAAAATAAAATACAGTTGCCTGACTAAGCATTTAACAAAAGAATTTCTAAGGTTGTGTGGAGTGGCATTCCATTACTTAAATAATGAAAAATTCTTTATCTTAAGCAAAGAAAAATGAAAAAACAAGAACAAAATAGATTACCATCACCCCACAAAAATGTAGACTTCTATACTACAACCTACGAAAACATATGCTTATATGTTTACAATATTTCAGTAGCCATTTTTTAAAATTATAAGAATCAAATTTATTCTAACACTAGTGAAGAATGACCTCAAGACCAAATCTACTGTACTTAGTGTGCCCTCACAGTTACAGTCCTCTGAGCCATACTGAAGTGCAGTAATTAAAATCCACAGGGACAGTACCAGCAGCAACAGTGCACACCACAGTACTTGTTAGAGTAATCTGCACCCTACCCAACTTCTACACACTGTGCACTACAGAAAGGTAAATCTGCTATCAGAAGACTCAGAGTTTAGGCCACAGTGAGTTTAGGCCACAGCACAGCAAACTTTACCTCCAGGTACATCTTACCATTTCTTTGTACACTCAACCATCAGCTCCTGGTAGGAAGCCACAAACTGGAACTTGGATGCATGTTTTCCCACACGCTGCAGTCTCTTCCAAACTGAAGCCATGATGATCACCGGAGCAGTTCTGGGTTAGCAACACAGCAACTTTAATAAAGCAGAGGGTCCAAAGCAAAGGAGCTTTGCATGTGTCTGTACTTTAAAAACTCAACTACAACTTGAAATGATGTTTGGGGTCCATAAGTCTTCTCCCCATTTCACAGGGTAAATCCCATCTTAGATGAATGGACCAGTCAAGAACAGTATGATATACATGACAGGATGAGTGAGAGGAGGTTCCCTCATGGAGACATCACCATTCCACCTCAGGGACTATATGACGTGTATTCTGGAGAACTGAAAAGCAAAACAAAGACAAAAAGAGAAAGCATATGAAGAGAGAAGCGTGAGAAGTGACTAACCACCCATGTTAGATAACGCTGCAACAGACAGCCCCAGTTCTCTGCATGTTTTTCAAACAATGAAACAAAACACCGACCTCAAAAGGTAGTAACATCAAGGATGCAAAACACCAAGGAAGAAATTACAGTTCACACTGAAGACACGGAGCAACACATCAGGCAATCAGCATTAACAATCGAGAAGACGCAAGTCGGGGCCCTGCCTCCCCTTCCTAGCATCACAGAAGGGCAAGCAGAGCGGGAAAGTCTAGAGATGCTGTTTAATATCCACCGCCAGTCAGAGGGAGGAGTGGGGTATTTTTAAATAAACTTTGTTTTTCAGCCGATAATTAATAGCCTCGAGTCCTAGAATATGTGCTTAGAACAAATTAGGGAGCTGGGAGGAATGCTGTTGTTCATTCGGAGGGGGAAATAGATGGGGAACGAGGAGTGGAGGGAAATCTTAAGGTAGAGGCAGGGCAATGTCCCAGCTCCAGCCCACTTGGGCTCCCCTTCACCTTCCCTGCTAACCAGAGGGAAATGGAAACTCCTGAAGCAATGACCAGCGGAGCAACTGGACGGTGCGGGGTGCGGTGCCTCCCTCCCCCACCCTCAGGAGAACGGTCCGCAGGAGCCCCGTCTCCTCAAGCACTGAGCCCAGACCCCTACCCCCCAGCGGAGGCAGGCGGTGGCTCGTCCGCGGTCTCTGTCACCCGGGCGATGCCAGAAGACCCCAACCCGGCCCCCAAGCCCCGGCCCCGCTGCTCGTCCAATCCCGCCCCCTCCTCACACCTCTAATCCCGCTGTCGGGCTGAGTCTGGCCCCGTTCCCTCCTCAGAGCCGCTTCTCCGTCGCCACCGCAGCAGCAGCCGCCGCCGCCGCCACCGGGTCCTCCATCCCCGCCGGAGCCACATGGAACAGGCAAGCCAGCCGTGGCGCTCGCGGGAGCTGGGGTCTGCAGCCCCTCAGGCGGACGGCGCCCCTCGCGCCAGCCCCTCCCTGACGGATCGAACCGCGACCGTCCCCCACCCTGCCAAACCCTGCCAGAGCGGCCGCTCAGCGCCCAGCACCCCCTCCCCCGCCTTCCTCCTCCGCCACCATCATCATTACCTCCCCCGCCGCACCTCTCACACTAACCCTACCCACGGCTGCTCAACCTCCGTCCGCCCCACCGCCATTGGCTGGGTCCCTCGTGTGCCCCGCCCACCTCGGCGGCCGGGCCTTAGCGCGACTGGGGTGCTTCATTGGCAGACCCGCGTGCCCATCACAGGGGCTCCACCCCCTACCTCTGGATGTGTTTTTCCCCAACCTGAACGCGACGCAAGGTCTACCCTTCTTTTTAAAAAAATTATAAGCCACTGAGGACGATCCCGCCCATTCTTCTGATTGGCTTGAAAAGAGAGAGAGAAGCGATACGCGGGAGGAGTGAGTAGTGTTTATAGTGAACTAGAAGGTGATTGCAGGAGGTGACTGTCCGTCAAAGGCGGCACCGGGTGCCGAAAGGCGTTCCTGGAGCCCGTAGGAGGTAGCAGAGCTGGGGGCTGGCTTCGCTGCAGCTGTGCGTGCTGTGGCCGCTGTGGTTTTTTTCTCCTGTTCTCTCTTATCCCCACCCTAGGACCTGGGCGCGCCTGTTCTCCGCCACTAGCAACAGGGGTTTTTGAGCACACAGCCTTTTTTTCATCCGAATCCTCCTGGGATTTTCCTTGACAAACTGAGGTAATGACCCTGCCAGGCCTTCAACCCAGCATTCAGTCAACTGGTCCTCAACGGATTCGATAAGCTGAGTTAGACACAAAATGTTTACACTACCATTTCTTCTTGTTCTGATTCTTAACATTTCTTTGAATCTTTTTATCTGCTTTTCGTTGTCTTTGTCTTTTTCCCCTGGTAAGACTGAATTTGGGAGTGGCTGGCTATAAAAAGGGTGGTTAAAGGCAAAGGAGAGGATGAAATAACCTAAAGAGAGTGGGAGAAGGGGTGCTTAACCTTGTTTTAAAAAAAAAGCCAAGGACCCTTTTAAGACTATGACAACTATAGACACTTTTCCAAGGGGGAAAAAATTTCCTGTTACGAGACACAATAATTCACTTTCGGTAGAATAGTGTTCCATTATGACTTTCTGCATGTTGCTCATGTATTTGGGGGATTGTGCCACAAAGTGCCAGTTGCCATTTAGTGACTCTACAGCCTTTGGGATTGGATTGCTACCGAATGAATATGAAAACCAATACCAATTGGTGGGTTTGATGTTCCAATTGACCCACTTGGGACAATAGGCATTGCCCACCTTAGATCAAATCAAAACCATTGCGTTGGAAATCTTGGAGTTCATTCTTTGTCTAGTTCTTGCTGGGGTAAATGGAAGACCTATCTTTCCTAGACTGAGTGACTCCTTGTTAACTTTTGCTGAGAAAATAAAATGAATAAAATGGAAAAAAAATTCAATTTTAGTTCACAGACCTCTGGTGCAGAGAAAGAGAACAAAGAATTAAATTTAGGGGGAATCCTCACATTTAAAGAATAATTAGAGTAAAGTGGGAAAGTAAAATTAGAATGAATGGTCACAGAAGTAGGAGCACCCAACAAGCAATGGGCAAATAGTTTGGAAAGAGAGAGAGAAGCTAACATATGAAAAGAAAACAAGCCGGATGGGCCCTGGAAACAATTAAGGCTCATTCTTAAGCATACTAAAGTTGGAGAGCAGAGTGCATGAACAAAGTAGCTTGAAAGATGTTAGGGTCTAGGGAGGGACAGGATGGGAGGGCAGTGGTGGGTGAAAATTGAGCACATCTGTAGACATGGGAGGGCAAGAGAAAGAGGTGAGACAGAATCAGGAGAGATGGGGAGACAGATGGAAGGCTTAAATTCAGTATCTAATTCTGTTCCCCTTGTCAATAAAAATAGTGATCTAATAACACCACAAGAATACAAAGTACATTTTACAGAAAAGGACATAGTTATTTTGCCAAAGTCTTAACTCTAAAATATTAAGATAACCATAATGATTATATTGATTCTTATTTTGTATACATTTTAGAGTTCTCTCATGTCCTTCCTGAGTGGTTTACTAAGTCACTCCAACCTACAGCCATTATGATCTCATATAGTAATATATTCAGAATATATTCTGAATCATTAATAGATTTTAAGTGTATGGGTTTTTGGGGGGTTTTTTTGTTGTTTTTTTTTAATGGCTAATTTATAGAATGGTCATCAACTGTTTTCATCTAAGTTGCCCTTCAGAAACGACCCACATGATGATCAGAAGTTTTTTGCACCCTATTTATTATTGTCCCTCATAAGTTCTCAAACTTTCTCATGTGATCATCCGGTCTCTTTTAATTCTCTTTTTCTATCTCAAAAAAAGAGAGAGAGAGAGAGACTTTAAAGAAATTATCTTAAAAGCACTGAGTTTTAAATGAGTGTCTTTCTGTAAATAAAAAAAATAAGTAGGATTCTCCAGGGAATCTTACTCAAGTTGCAGAAAATTTCAAAAGTCTATAAGTTAGCTTGTTTTTTAGGGGAAGTATTTGTCTTGGATGTAAACTCTTCTTTTTCATTCTAGCCACTTGAGATAGCTAAGAAGAGACCAAGATTAGAATTGTTTAATGAATGAGTGAAAGAGAGAAGAGCAGATCTTCACATTGTTCTACTGCTGAGTTCAAGTTCATAGGCTGTCTCTTGGAGACCCCATCAAGCTCTGCTTCTCCCCCCCATAACATTTTTAAAAGTAATCTCTGCTAACTAAATTTATTGAAGAGCCTTAAATATAAAATATTTTTAAGATCTTTTGGTCTACTTAGCTGATAATTATTGAATACCAACTGAGAATTGATCACATTATATACCATTAATAGTACATAAAATTTACAGTCCTTGTTCTCAAAGAGTTTTGAGGAACAGACATTTGGCATGTATGCAAGAAAGTAACACAAATTACTTAACCTCTCTTGAATCCCTGCTTCCTATTCTGTAAAACAAATAATCATGCCTACCTTTCTGGGATGTTGAGAAGATAGAAGATATGTACATAAAGTGCCTGGTACATAGTAAACAGATAATTAATTGTGTATGCTATCATGCTTGGTAGCAAATATAGACAGTCAAGAAAAAAACAAAACAGACCTTCAAGAATACTTGAGCAATACTTAGCTGGCACCAAACATCACTACCTCAAAAACTAAAGACTCCCCAACAGTACATTTAACATTATTCCTCTCCCATTAACTTAGTGGTTACCAAGAGTGTAACACCAGTAATCTAGATGGACTCGGGATTTTATAATTACTAAAAATTCACTTACCCTGAATTCTCATGACCAATCCTCATGCTATATATTAGCTGGGATCTTTTGGCATGCTAGAAGTTATCTTTTTTTTTTTTTTTTTTTTTTTAAAGACCGGTAAGGGGATCTTAACCCTTGACTTGGTGTTGTCAGCACCACGCTCACCCAGTGAGCAAACCGGCCATCCCTATATGGGATCCGAACCCGTGGCCTTGGTGTTATCAGCACCGCACTCTCCCGAGTGAGCCACAGGCCGGCCCAAAGTTATCTTTTTTTTTTTTTAAGGCCCCAGCATGTACATCCTATTGACCCTTCTCTGCCAGGATTGCCCACTATGTTTATGCCCCTTTCTTATCCCTTGTTTACTCAGGTCTTGATTTATCATCTCTTTCCATCCCAGGTTTAATATGCATGTAATAGACCTGTGAATGCAAGTAACTCTATCCTGTCCATTTGACTGCAAAATTTTATGGAGGTTTTACTTAACAGAAGATTCAACATTTAAAATAATTTCAGTTTTGCCTTTAAATATCATCAAGCTTAAAATGAAGATAGAGCAGCCGGCCCCATGGCTCACTCGGGAGAGTGTGGCACTGGTAGCACTGAGGCCGCGGGTTCGGATCCTATATAGGGATGGTTGGTGCACTCACCGGCTGAGCATGGTGCGGACCACACCGTGTCGGGGTTGTGATCCCCTTGCCGGTCAAAGAAAAAAAAGATAGAATACAAAGAAATAAATGGAAAATACCATACAAAAACTTTAAATTTTCTCTGCCATGATGGTTTTGAAAATGACAGAAATTATTTTCAATGAAGCAGCTTTTCTAGTCACTATTTCAGAAAATGCCAAAATGGAGATTCTAGTCTACAAAATGCAACCATAGGCTTCAATTATTATTATCTGTCCTGGTAATAAAATTCTTATCCTTGGGGTTTACAGTTCTCACAGTAAAAATTGTCCAAGGTGTTGCAGGATTTAACTACTAATGGAGTTTATCTGTGTCTTAGTCTTAATAATAAGACTTACTCCCAATAACAACACTACAGGTTTTACATTGTTTTTTCCAGTTACCATGGCAGCTATGCTATACACAACAATATTACTGCAATTTTTAACTGCTAATAAAATTGTTTTAAACTCATAGCAAATAAATGCATTCCCAGCAATCTTACAGCAAATTTTTGTCCTTAAAAACTCACTGTGGCAGGCTAATAGTTTCGAAATTTTTACCTGTGGTTTTTATAGTAGTTGTTTTTCTAGGTATTTCCTTTTATCCTACAGTTTTTCTCCTCCTGTGAGGATACTTCCAAAAGTTCATGGGAAAATGAAATTAAAGATAATACAAGGCTTTCCATGAACTTTTTGAAGTACTCTCATATACCTCATCCCAAGACACCCTTCAGCATAACACCCACCCTCATGTAGGCTGGTCAATGCTCATTATTTCAGGAAAGGAATATAATAGAATGTAGAAAAACGGGGTTTTTTTCTTGGTTTTGAGTTCCAAAAGCCTAGCCCTTTGGAGAATAATGAAATGGAATACGGTTAGAGACTTTCAGTGTTCAGTACAATAACTTCTAGCCACATGTGCCTATTGAACACTTGAAACATGGCTAATGTAAATTGAGATGTGCCGTAAGTATAAAATATACACTGATTTCAAAGACAGTATGTAAAA